TTTTTTTTGTTTGTTTGTTTGTTTGTTTTAAGTCTTTCCTTTTCCCAGAAATCCTTGGAAACAATTAAAACTTTTAAAAGAAAGATGAGGGCCCTCCCTTGTGGTGCAGCAGGTTAAAGCACAGCACTGAGAAGCTAAAGCCACTTCAGCATGAGATCCCCACCCCAGAGGTGACCCACATGGCACAGCAGATCTCTCCTAACCTGCCCGCTGCTCCCCTCAGCAGAGTACTTCGTCATTCGGCCTGTTCTGCTCCCCACTCTGTCTCTGGTGAATCTTTCCACTGCCCCTGCACCTCTGGCCTGTACCCCAGTTCTGTATGCATAAATAAATAAATCTTTAGGGAAAAAAAAAGATGAATACAGTGGTTTCAGAAGGGTTTGCAAAATGACAGATTTGAGTTATGTTCATAAGATTCCAAAAACTAGTTGAAAGTTTAAATTTCCAGTTATCACTGAATAGTCTAAACCCCCTGAACTGAAGTCCATGGGCCCTCACTTTAACAAGCTGAACACCCTAGACCTGTGAGCAGAGAACCCCCGTGCTTTGCTGACTTTTCCTGACAAACTGAGTACAATTTTAGTGAATGAAATACTATTTAAATCATTTGAATTGGCAGCTTCAAAGACAATGATTAAATGCATTGATTTTATTACTACTTTGCCTGGGTTTGAAGTCGATCTTTAAAATGTGCTTGCTGTGTGAGCCTGACCAATTTACCTAACTTCTACATGCCCTCCATTTCTCCCCTGGTGAATGAGGATTTAACCCCATTGAATGGTTAAATGAGTTAGTCTAAATGCTCAGGGTTGTACCCAGGACACGGTAGGTGCTCACAAAACATTATTTACTGGTGTTTGATCTTCCCAGGAGAGGGGCTACATAACTCGTTCTGGGAGGTCCTGAAAAAGACATACCCAAGGCCATTATGATTTATATTAAATTCTTTTTTTTTAAGATTTTATTTATTTGTGCATACAGAACTGGGGTACAGGCCAGATGTGCAGGGGCAGCGAGAGGATGCACCAGAAATGGAGTGGGGAGCAGAACAGGCAGGTTGCAAAGTACGCTGCTGAGCAGCGGGCAGGTCAGGAGAGGTCTGCCGCGCCATGTGGGTCACCTCCAGGGCGGGGACTGAACTCTGCTGAAGCGGCCGTGGCTTGGCTAAGTTTCGCCGTGCGGCGCTCCAACCCGCTGCGCCCTCAGGGAGGGCCTATACTAAATTCTTACCAAAGAACTCAATCTAAAATTTCAAACAAATATCCTTTGGCACTAAAAACAAGTTTATTGATACAACCTGTGAGCCTGGATACCCATGCTCTCCTGGAGGACCCCATGCACCCGATTCTCCACGTATACCCTGTCAAGATGAATAAAACTCAGTGAGTTCACCAAGCATCTTTAGTGTTCCAGTTGAAGGGTGTTCCATGCAAGATGTCACCTGAAAGTCATGAGAATGCAAAGATTCAGCCTTCTGCGTTCAGTCCTCTTAGGATATGGAGTTAAAGAGGAAATAAGAAGAAAATTTGTAAAACTTCAAACCAGATCACTAGTGTCTTTCTCAGCCTTTCTGCCTCTCCTTCCAATATCTCACCTAACAATGCAAGCAAAAAACACTTCGTTTAAGTAATCTAAACTCCTACTTTACACAACAACCACTTTTAAAAGTCCACCCACTCCTTATAAGGGCTTCAGGTTAAATGTTCACTGGTACTAAGGACACTAATCCCATTCAAGGAAGCTCACGATGTTGAACATCACAAGTGTGACACTCCGGGACATGGACATAGAAAACTGGCCTTCACCACTGAGATCTTCCAGCATGAAGCTAGCTCTCAAGGCAAATGGTAAGCTGTTAAAATGATTCATCTGATAGTTCATTTAATTTTCCTCTCAAATGAGTACCTTCATAAGAGATATACCTTCAAGATTGAGAAAGCCCATTTGGTGAATTATTCTGTTTTCTTTCTCATGTTGCTCACATGTTGGCTTGGTTACTGATTATCATAGATTTGCAAATAGTGGGGAAAAACCCTTGAGCTCAGTCAGACTTAATACATAGCTAGATTAATCACTTGTGCTTCTTAAGTATTTTTAAACTATTCGAAGAAATGGAAAGCACTTGTAATAATCATTACAGTTACATTATTCGGCTTTTCCAAGAAGCAGATAGTGTCACTAATATGTGCAATACAAAATAACTGAATTACCAGTCAGATAAAGGCAAGCTGAAAAACTAGCCCTTGATAGCTGAGTTCAGAACTAAAGTGCTGAGATGAGGAAGGGAAGGAAGTACAATGGTCCTTGGTGGTAGGTCAGTGATGGGTGCACTATGGCGGTCATACCTGATGGGGTACCCCAATATCATCTCAGTTAAAGATTAATTACTTAAAAATAACTGATCTGTCAGAGACTCTTTGTCCCTGATCACGGATTATTGGGGAGCAGAACAGGCAGGGTCTCAAGGAGGGAGTGGCGTCAGTGAGCAGAGATTCCTAGAAAAGGGGGGGAAAGGGGAAAAAACGGGAGCAGGCACGAGGAAGACACGGGAATGCGAGTTGGGTGCAAGTCTTCCTGTTCTGCCTTCAGCAGAGGTTTATTTTATACATTTCAAGCAGGCACTGATCTCTAGATTTACAAACGTGACCCAAACTTGGAAAGACATGCAGCTGGAAATTTGTTAACAGGTGGTGAAATGTTGTCTAATTTGTATATCATATTCATGAAGTGTTGAAATATTTTACATGCTGATTTTTTTTTTTTTGGCCATAGTAGCACTTTCATGAAAAAATCTTATCTAGAAGTTCATTTTATTATGCATCTTACAAATGCCAGCGTAGCTAATTTTATAGACATTACTGAGTTGTATATTCCCAAAGACCAAGGCACACCATATATGAGAATTCAGCACTTTGCTCCTAATGGATTAATCTTTAGCAAGTTAGAGAATGTAAATGAGGAGCTGCACACTGAAACCCCAAGGAGGTATCACACCAGGTGTCACACCACACCTTCAGAGTGACTATGTACAAAGATAAGAAACAAGTGTTGGTACAGAGAAAGGGGAGCCCTCAGGAACAGAGGAAGAATGATGGGTGGGCACAGACACTGGAAAACTATATGGAGGAGCCTCCAAAAAAAATATAGTACTGCATGATTCAGCAATTATAATTCCATTATTTAACTGAAGAATAATAATTCTTTTAAAAAGACAAGTGTCCCTGTGTTTACTGCAGCATTATTTACAATATCTAATATGGAAACAACCTAAGCCCCTATATATACATGTGGGTATAGACATACAATGGAGTATTTACACAGCCATAAAAAGGAGACCTTGTCAATTGCAACTGCACAAATAAAACTTTAAGGCCATTGTGCTCAGTGAAATAAGTCAGACAGAAAAAGACAAAGCACATATGATTTCACATTTCTGCAGAACATGAAAAGTAAAACAAGTAAAGAACCAATGAAACAAAGCTCATGGTACAGAGAACAAACTGGTGGCTGCCAGAAAGGAGAAAGATGGGCAAAATGGGTGGAGATATCATGAGATACAAACTTTAACATGTGAAATAAATTAGTCATGGGGATGTAATTACATCGTGGAGACAACAGACAGTAACATTGTTTAATACTGTTTATAAGCTAGAATAGTGATAATGATTGTACAGCATGTGCAAAAAGGCTTAATGCCACTGAACTATATAACCACCCATAGCTACAATGGTCAATTTTATATTACATAGACTTTACCCTCCCCCCAAAACCAGAACATATGACCATGCCTATACAACCAGTTCTCCTAAGTGGGGGTGAACTAGTGAACTGCTGGCCTGCTAGACAGAGCCAGTTTACCTGGAGTCTGCAAATGACTGCATCTTTCATTAAAAAAAAAAAAAAAGTCAAGGAATAAATAAAGAGACAGCAACTATAGGGATTCATCAAGATCACATTGTATTAATTACGGAGAGAGTTCCTGTTAAAGATGGCAGTTTACACACATTTTTCTCTGTTCCCAAAGTGAGAAGCTGCTGTTTCAAAATCTCTGCTAGTGGCATCTGTGCAGAATTCCAGAAAACTATCAGTCTGGCTAGAGAAGAACAGCAGACTCAGGAGGAATCCAGGGGAAATAACACTTAAACTCTTTCGAAGAATGTCGTGATGGCCTAGAAGTCAGCACATAAAACACACAGCAAACAGGGAGAAAGGCCGACTCGGGAAGAACCAGTGTCAAGGCTGTAAGTGACATTAATCCCTCATCATATGAATAAAAGAACTGATTTAGCCCAAAGTGGAGAAAATAAGTGTATTGCAAGGATAAGTTGGGTAAAAGTGTATGGAAAAAGGAGGACAGATTTTAAAAATCTTTATAACACATAGTAAGATCAATAGAAAACATCTCAAACTGAAAACCAAGAAATCATAAAGCTACCTCATTGGTTGTGAAGATGTTAACCGTGCCAGAGTAGTAGCCCAAGGACACAAAAGTGAGGGAAGACTCCAGAAAGGCCTGGAGTCAGGAGCAGGGAAGGTGGAGAGGAAAGTATTTTCCATTATAGTTTCGCTAGTCAATTTGACTTTAAACATGTATGATCTTACCTCTGTTCTAAACAAAATAGAATTAAACAAAATAGAATTAAACAACTCGAGACTAGGAAATTCCCTCCTCTTCCTAGAACCATTCAATTTCTCCAAACATAATCTAGTCAACTTGAGTTTTTTTCTTTCTGCCACTTTTGGGATAAAACCAAAAAAGATAAGAAATAACTCAAAGCATTGTTTATTTCACAGGTGTTAAAACTGAATTAATGATATAAAAAACTGCTTCAGAATTGATTTCAACACTTTTATGGGAAAAATTTCACTTGGTGTCAAAACTTGATTAGATTTTTGAGGCTTGGAATTTCTCAATAACCTGCCTTGGCACCACCTCTGGGTTGAAGTCATAGGACTTTTCCTCCATCCCTAAATCATGAGATGCTAGAAAAATATATCAGCAGAGTATGACCAGAGTATGTCAGAGGGACACCTCTATAATGAATATAACCGTTCATTTGTACGAAAACTTCCAAAAACAGCATCACCACTGGATTTGAATCCTGTCTCCATCAACTGATAGTCTTATGTAGTTTTACTCTTAAGTCTGCATTTCCTATTAAAAATATAAAAATATTAAAAATATAAAAATATAATAATCACCAATGATGCTCAAAATTCCTGAGGTTTAGGAATATTTACATATATGAGGTGATATAAACATCTAGCACAGTGACGGGTGTTAAATGCTTTGTAAAATATGATTCATTTCATTTCATTTTGTACAAATGAACAATTATATTCACAGAAATACACCCCCACCCCACATTTCCTTCATACTTGGAAGAATTCAAATTTCTCCTTCATTTAGTGACTATGAGATTCCCTATGCACCCAACACGTTCCTGCTCATTTTAGTGGAAAAGTCATTATTTTAGAGGTGAAAGCCTTTCTCTTGAAGTATTAGCTTCTTTTCAGTCTAAGCGAACTATTACAATGGGCTGGAGAAGGAGCAGAAGCAGCAGCGTATAAACTTTTGCTTCTTCCTGGGAAGGGTCCCACAGAAACCTCGCGGTGACCCTCCTGCAAACCTGGCTGCCCAACCAGGAACTATAAAGGAACTATACCGTAACTGTATATGTGGAACAAGAAGCCTTTCAGGAAGCACTAACCTTCATCCCCGGCAGACCTCGCCTTCCTCTTGACCCCTAAGAATAGAAGGGAAACAGAGACTGTAAGACAATGAAACAAGCGAATTTTCATCCCAGTCCTCCTACCTAGCTTATTCATGAGAGCAGGGGAAGCTCATCCCGAGAGTGATCATACCTACCCGAGGGCCAACATTTCCAGCTTCCCTCTGAAGTCCATCAAAACCGGAACGTCCCTGCGAAGTAAGCGGTAAAGGGAAGACTGGTTTAGAAGTGTAAACACCTCTGAATTTATTCTCCACACCTGCCTGCCTGACTGAGAATGGCATCTCTGAGGGAAAGGACTGGGCCTTGGGGACAACATGTGCACCACAGAGCAGGTGAGCCCAACCCTATCTCTAGGGTATGGAAGACGCTTCTTAGCTAAACACAGCTAGTCAGGCTTTCTGCAACCTGAATATTAAAAACAAAAAGCAACAGTCCTCACTGATGTGTACAGTATGTTTCCTGGTTGCTTTCTCAAAAATGCCGTGTTGGTTTTCTTTTTCCCCCCGGGGAATTACCACAGCTTTAACAGTTTCCCACTCCTTCCTGAGGTATGAGGTGCTAGTTATTTAGTCACGTTTCTCTGTTCATCAGGGCTCCTTCTCCATACAAATTGCAACATCTTATTGGCTCTTTCCCGCCAACTCAGAACTAATAGCAAGGAAATGCTGCCACCTCGAGGGCAATCTTTTCATAGCACCTAGTCTAGAATTTCAGCCTCCACCAGTGGCAAGCGTATGGAGTGGCTTCTATGTTATCCAAATCTATTTCCAGAATATTCCACACCCTTTTTTGAGCACCGAACAGAAATAGAACCCACATATAGGAACACAAATATAATAATCCATGGCATCTCCTCAGGTGACAAATTCTATTTGCACACACTTGGGGACCTGACATTCGAGGCTATGAACATCAAGTGTGGAGAAAGCGGTAAGCATGAGACTGGTAACGGGCACAGCACTGGACAGTCCATCCAGTGGCCTGAGTTCTTCCCCTGGAGTAAAGCCACAAGCAAACTTTGAAACCAGAGCTCAGGGTATACAGAGAGTGTGGCCTTTCTTCCAGGTCAGCAAGCTCATGAAAATTTTGGAATAACTTCTCTACTCTTCCCACCACACAGATGATAAAAATAGAATTCAACTGAGTTAATGGTTGCTGACCTCTTGTTCTCTTAGCTCAACCCTGCAGCGGACTTTGTGGCAATTCACAGGGCTTTCTGACCTCAGCTTACCAAAGGGAACCCTCTGGAGTCTGTCCAAGGCAACCAAAGCAACACTGTGAGAGATTCCCACACAGTCACCATGACTGCAACGATCATATTGTTACACACTGAATTTTATTCAGGATCTGAACCTATAAAATGGATAACACCTAATCCAATATGGGGGAAAGAAGCAATGTCCTACGATTGTGTCAAAGTCACACACAAATGTGAGACAGTGGCAGTGATGAAAAGCAAGCTGGGCGTAATGGCCCTAACCTGCTTTCAAATCAAGAAACCATTATAAAACGGGAGGATTTTAAAACCGGAAAGAGCTCGGGTCTCACTGAGTCTGGTGCAAGAGGAGGGAGAAGCTAGGGCTTGGCACTCCTGCCTCTCTGGACCAGGGCTCCCACAGAGCCTGCTCTCGAGCCCACCTCCTTGGCACCCGTGAGCATCTGTTTCCACATTACCAGTCTCTCCGAGACAGAGACCATCTTACCTGGTGTCCACGCCTTCCTTTTTCTCCTTTAGGACCTCGGATGTAACTATCAATTCCAGGATTCCCCTGAGAAAATAAAAGATTGCTTATCTCAAATGGATAGTAAAGAAAGGAATGACAAAATGAATGATGTTTAGAAAGAAAGAGAGGGGGGGAGGGAAGGAGGAAGGGAGGGAGAGAGAGAGAGAGAGAGAGAGAAAATCCAATTTTCTTTGCCAAAATATCCTACAATTAAAGTTGCAAACTTTTGAAGCACCCAAGTTTTCTCTAAGTTCTCACACAGATCTCTTACTTGTTGCAATACTGAGAGAGACTGAGCAGATGCCTCAGTAGTGATCAGTTGCTTTCTGCTTCCCATGCTACAGCGAACAGTTCGCAAGTTCCTGATAAAACTCCAGAAATCCCTCAACCACACACTCACAGGATCGCCCCTCAGTCCAGGCTCCCCATGATCTCCAGGTGGTCCCGGCCATCCTCTCAAGCCCTTAAATGACACACACAAACCAAAAAAAAAAAAAGCTACTTTTAAAAACTGTCTATTACCTAAAGGGAAGAGAACATTACATGAGAAAAACACCAAATTAAAAAAATAGTTTAGCGGGCTCTCCCTGGTGGTGCAACAGTTTAAAGTGCAGCATTAGGAAGCTCTCCGAAGCCACTGGAGCACGAGTTTGATCCCCGGCCAGGGAGCTGACCCACACGGCCCAGCAGACCTCTCCTGACCCACCTGCTGCTCCCCTCAGCAGTGTATTTCAGTCCACCTGCCTGTTCTGCTCCCCACACTGTCTCTGGTGAACCCTCTCACCCACTGCACCTCTGACCTGTACCCCAGTTCTGTAAGCACAAATAAATAAATCTTTTTTTAAAAAATAGTTTAGCGCAACCCATTGCGCCACCAGCGAGGTCCCAGCATTTGAATTTTAAAGCACTTGTGCCGCAGAAATTTGGGACACAGAAAAGAACCTACTTTTGACTGAAAAGCTGTGATATGCTTGGTCAGAGGAATGCATGACCTCATTTAACCTTCATGACTCAGGAATTATCCTATTTGCATATAAGGGACGTGAGGTGCAGGAAGTCGGAACCAGGTCACCCCACCATCAAATCTACTCCTCCCTGATGCTCCCACCTAGAGACACATGTAAGGGGAGAAAAAACTTCCTCCACCAAGGCCATAAGTAGCATGAACAGGGCAAGAGTTCATGGAAAAGTGGAGAAAAGGGAGAAAAATTCTTTAGGAGCTCCTGACTGCTACAAAGGACCAAAAATGATAAGCAAATGGCGATGTCTTAAAACCGATCATCAAAGAATCCCACCTCAGCTGATGTCATGTACCCGCCTCTCAGGGGGGGGTGTATGCCCCACATCTAAGAGCAGTGAAGGGGGACTCCTCTGAGATAGGGCTCTCAGACTCGTGAGAAATGATGTTTTCCAGGCTCCCAAAGAAGTCTCCTCATGATGTCACTGGAGCCTTCTCCTTAACCTTCCTTTCACCTCGCAGGATGGTGAGAGGGGGTTCATTCTCAATTCCATTCTTGCTGCTTAATTCACTAGTTAGGAAAATGTCTTTGAAGTTGCAATTTTCTCATTTGTGAAACAGATGTAAAGGCATTAAATCGGATCAGAATTAAAATGCTGAGTACAGAGCGTGGCTTATGGCTGCTACTATGATTTGCCCAATTTCTTTTCCCTCTTTGACTCAGACACTGGCTTCAGGAGTCATCTGCCAAACCTGTAGCTTTGAACATGTGTCTTCCTCGCCTAGGAACTTCCATAGTATCTGACTGCTCAGCAGAAAGGGCAGAAGGGACATTTGCAGCCGTAATGAAGGCCTGACTACCGGCAGTGACGGGAAATGAGCAATGTGAACCAAGTCCCTCAGCCTTTGTCTGTTACAAAAGCTTTTCCCGGCTCTGTCTCCAAGGACTTCATCTTCCACCCAAGGCTTTTAACCACATCCTTCACTTCTCAGTCAAGAAGTGTCCTTCCCAGACCACTCCTCTGCCCCCCAAAGACCCCTTTAATATGTACTGTCCTTAACTCCTAATTTAGGACTTATAAATAAACTGTCACATCAGTTTATGAAGTAGAAGCATGAGCCATTTCTCATTCTTTACCCGATTTCCCCTGTTTCCTTTTTCTCCAGATGACCCTGGGACACCACGATTACCCTAGAGAAAGAGAGATAAGTATAGTAAGAACCTTGGTTATGTACAGTACTTCCACCAGAAAATTTTTTCATGTAGTTTCACATTCTAGTCAAGAGCAGAAAATTTCTTTCACATTCTATTTCTAACCATGCAACAGAATAGATGCCCTGAAAAATACCCCAAGAAAAGACAGTGGGCAATGAAATCTAACTTGCAATGACTTCATGAATGGAATTCACATAACTGAAAATAAAATTATTACAATTAATATATTTAGATAAGTTAAAAAAAAAAAAAAGATTACAAATCAAGCAAAAAAAAAGACCAAGCAGACTGGAGAAAGAATCAAGTAGAACTTCTTGAAGTGAAATTGAGAATAAATGAAATAAAAACAATTAGCAGGTTAAACTGCATACTGAACACATGATACCTAAGGATTAGCAGACTGGCAACTGAAGACAATATTCAGAGTGCAATGCAGAAACACAAAGACAAAGAAAATGAAAGACAGGTAAAAAGAACTGAGGAAAGAGTGAGAAAGTAGCAGCTTTTATTCAAACTGCCGTAGATAACAGAGGATATAGGAAAGATTAAAAATTCCAAAATGATTAACTTGCTAAGAATTTTCCAAAACTGACAGAAGGCACAAATACTGAGATTTAAAAGCCTAACAATCAAAGATAGGTGAAATAAAAAGAAATCCACACCTAGATATTTCCTACTGCAGCTGCAAGAGACTGAAAACAAGAAAGTGTTTAAGCAGACTGATGTTTTTTTAAAGACTGCTGACAAAGGAGCAGTAATGTTAACTGATCACATCTTAACATCAATAACGAAAAAAAGAAGACAATAGAAGCCAGAAGAATATGAAATTATATTTTCAAATTACTTAAACATTTGTTACCCAAAACTGTTTTTCAAGAAAAATATAAAATAAATTTCAGAGAACTAAAAACCACGGGCATTGTATCTTAGGCAAAAGAAACAAGATCTCGTGTTTCTTTTCAAGTAACCAGTGATTGTAATATGAGGGAAAAGCTAGTATGACTGAATACAACAATTACAGTGTCTACATGGTAGAATTTAACCCCCCAAAAGGGCAGAAATAAATACTATATAATAACATATGAGAGGAGAATGATTAAAAAACTAAGTTTCTGGGGTCTTTATTATTTTTGTGATAGATTAAACATTGTTGAGTATGCATTTTTAGATCTCTAAATAAACCATGTAAAGTAGAAATCAACATTATAAATGTTCAATGAGGAGAGGAGTGAAAAGCACAGTATGAGGACTCTCTGTACCTGCTCTCCTTGCGAGCCGTCAAGACCTGCCTCACCGGGGATGCCCTGTGGACCATAGGACAATGAGACTGTCAGAGACAAGGGAGCAGTGTTCTGGTTATACCGCATGGACATTACTTGCCTTGCTGATATTTTTGGTCAGTTAACAGAAGAATCTAGACCTTCCAAATCAACACTTACATCTAGCATTCAACTATTAAAACACAATGATTATTTCCATAGTCATCAGCATTATGTACTGTTTCCCTCAACACTTTTGGATGCTAAAGGGAAAGCGAAAAAGAAAAACAGCAGCTCCAAGTTTGAATGGATGGAAAGACTTTCTTTCAGCATCTGTAGTGGGAACTAGTGGCTCTCAAGACTCACTGAGCTATTTCCCACTGGTAGTCAGTGTGCTAAGGACGATCCTTTTTTCATTTAAGAGTGGCGAGTACGCCTGGATGGAAGTGCCTAATGGAAACCTGGAAATCAGAGGTTAAGGAGGAATCGAGTTGGCGTGCATGCACGTGTGTGCATTATGGGAGACTTACAGATGAAAAAAATAAAAAACAGACCTTTAGAAGAGCGCTGAAAATTTGAGACTAATGAGGTGGCAAAAGCAACAACTGGCAACAGCTTGGTGACATCACATCCACTAAATCATCACTTCCAAATCATGAGCCTTTCATTGTACCAACCATCTCAAAATGACAATTAATATATTTTTTATATGGTGCAGCAGACCTCTCCTGTCTCCCCCGCTGCTCCCCTCAGCAGCGTATTTCAGTAGCTCTGCCTGTCCAGTGCTTACTCTATCTGATGAATCCTCTCACCCCGTGAACCTCTGCCCTACACCCCAGTTCCTACACACATAAATAAATCTTTAAATACATGCTTATAAAAATAGATATATGTAAATTTATTATAAAGCACTTCGAAAGGAAAAAATTCAGTTTTACAAGCAGAACAAAATGTATTTCACAACAGAAGTGAAGTGGCTGCCTCCCTCCTATTGGCCATGTGAAAAAAATCAAAGTTCAGGCCTGTTTCAAGATTAGGTTACAGCTGAATGAGTGCATGAAAATGAGCACACCAAACTCTTGGACTCAAATTTCATGGGCTATGTGCCACCAGTCACAGGGGGTAAATCAGGACAGCAGAAGACAAGCATACAAGAACTGTGGTACAGGCCAGAGGTATGGGGGGTGGGGGGGTGGTTAAGAGGAGTCACCAGAGAAAGGGTGGGGAGAACAGGCAGACTGAAACACACTGCTGAGGGGAGCAGCAGATGTGACAGGAGGGGTCTGCTGCACCATGTGGGTCAGCTCCCCAAGAAACTGTTCTCCAGGTTAGAAAGAAGAAGATCACTTACCTTCTCTCCTGAAAATCCCCTTACTCCCTAAAATCAAAAAAAAAAAAAAAGAAAGAAAGAAAGAAAAAGAATTGGGAATGAATGAGACTTCTCAACCAATGTTTGGCTAGGAAACCATATATTCCTTAATCTGAAGAAAATGCAATTATTAGATCAAAATGAAGAGTTCTTCTCTGGTGACAGAATGGACTTCGCAGCACTCTCATTACTACTCCCCACCCCCCCGCTTGCCTGACTGAGAAACCTGCACCCCCAACTGACTGCTCACATAGTAGGGGAGAGCAGGAAAAAGCAGTGACTGGTCACATATTGTAACAATCACATTTTCTCCTGACAAGCAGGAAAGGGCATCCAGGAACAACAGGGCAATTAGGTCAAGGAACAGCTTGGTAGAATATATAAAATAGAGCCACTCTGATGCAAAAACTCTGAGGTTTTAGAACATAATTTCTGGCCTTTAAAGGAGATTCTTTAATCTTGGAAGCTTGAGAGACACTGAGTGCAACCGCTCAAAATGGAGACCACATTCATGATCCCTTTAGCCTTTAAAATTTCAGTGTTCTCAAGCCACTCTCTTCCTGGAGATTTTTGCCCCTGGGACCAGAGTTGCTCTACTACACACAGGAGAGGGTGCATGGATATCCCAGCTCTCTCCCTCGAGAGGGGTAACACTGGGGTACATGCTTCATATGAGCTCCCAGGATTCTCAGCAAGCAAGCTCTGTCTAATCATAGAGCTTGTGGTGAGTGGGAAATTAGATGAGTGGGAATCTAGTGGACAACGCACACGTCTTTGAGGTCACCTTTCCTCCCTGTCTAACTATCCTACCCCCCACCAGTGTTTACTGAGCTCACCTCTCAGTAAACTATCTGTCCTTGATACCTTTTCTCAGACAATAATCCCAGGAAACCCTCAGTCAGAGAAGAGCTAAGATGCTACATGCTATTTTGCTATGCCAAATAATTAAGATTTTCCACAAACTTGGCATAAAACAAGGATTCCAAGCAGCTTAAGGTCACACTCACCTTCAGTCCTCTCATACCTGGGCAACCGTCCTCACCTCGGAATCCAGGAGGACCTTGGGGACCCCTTTCCCCCTGTGGAATAGACACACATGGAGACACAAATAATTCTATCACCACCCAAGCCTGTGGCAAAGTAATTTCCCATAATTTGCAATTAACTGAAAATGACGGGCTTCTTCACCCTATTGGTTTTTATATGTGATAAAGGGGGTCCCTAGCTTTTATATAATGTGATAAAGGGGGTCCCTACTGCTCCAGTCCCCTCTCTAGCACCTCTGTCTATAACACACATGTTGCCCCACAACCACCAGGTTGTCAACTGCCCTTTGGCCGGCACATGCCTGGGATGTAACCAGGGTTATATGTAGACAAGGAGCGTGACACTATAACTCCAGCATGTTTGCATTTCTGGACCTGCTAATAAAAATAACCATTGATTCTCTCCACTTTATTTTTGTGATTTTGTTTATCAACATGGCTACCTTATAAATAGTAACAAAAGACATGAATTTAGCTCACAATGAGTAGTTTCTATTACCTGTGTATACTTTGGACAGTGACCACATCTCTGAGAGTCTCAGCTTCATTGGAACAATAAAATGACCACAGTTCAACATATGATCCCTTCTAAAAGTCTGTATCTTACAAAATTTGTTCAACTGACATTTGTTATCATAAATGGTCATGTTTACATAAAGACTTAAATCAATTTAAATAACATGGATGAGGACAAACCTTCCTGACTTAAATGCAACTATGTATTGAGGGGATTTGACCCATTTTCCACATACCTTCAAAGAAAAAACAAGAGTCAGTACTTACATGTCCCCCTTCTTCACCAGAATACCCAGGTAATCCATTAAAACCTTTCTCTCCCTGAGACAAAAAGAATTGACATAAGTAACTTGGGCTCTAAATTTATCATTTCTCAAAACTACAGGAAACAGACATTGTTACTAATAAATCGATTGTCTTGCGGAGCTGACATTTTATTGAGCATCTGATAAGTGTTGGGCATAGTGGGTGAAAACACAGAATCAAATATTCTTGGTCCGTGTTAAAGCGAAAACTTGAATACCAGTTTGTCTTCATAGCTGACATGTAACTTTTTTTTCCTCTCCCCAAAAAGCATTCTATTGTGAAAGTCATTCTATTGTGAAAATCCAAACCAAGATCAGTTTATTATTAGAAGTTTAGGGGGAATGGTTACTCTACAGAGGTCTTGTGAAGGGGAAGGATGTAAAGGAACTCTGCAGAGTCTTATGGACTCCACCCCCTATGCCAGCTTTCTGGACCCTACCCCCTGCTCCAGTGATTGGAAACTACAACTCCCAGCCGTACCAGGGAGAGAACTGCGAGGACCCAAGGGTGGAGCTAGCAGGAATTCTGGCACATTTGGGGGATAAATAGGGTGCGCCTGCATCTCTCCTCTCTACCTCAGGAAGCAGCAGTGTGTTCAGTCAGCCTACCCATAAGGTATTCTAGTGACTTTGTATCCCGCTCTCTTTCCCTGGGTTGTTTTCTTTTCCTTTCCCCTTTTGTAAATAAACCTGTTATTGACCCTTTTGTGTGTACCTGCAGTATAACCGAATTGCGAGCGCGCGGGTGAGGCCCCACAGACAGGCGGCCCAGTCCACTCTGGGCTACCCTGTAACAGTCTTTGATTTTGTTTTACAAAACATCGGTAGGGAAGGTGTTTCTGTAACAGAAAGGGTCCCAAGACGAGGGTAGGACAGGACTCAAGAATTTTGTAAAATTTTGCAGTTCCCATGAGCTGGTAAACAAAAGTTTAAAAAAAAAAAAAACAACTCTGAGGACCTTAGACCCGGTCACCAACTGCCATAAATTTCCTTGACTTGTTTGTTTTATTTTTTTGTTTTACCACTTCTGAGTTGTTTTTGCAGTGCTTATCAAGTTGGCTGGTATGGGAAGAAAAGGGAGTCGCAGACCCTAAAAGAAAGAGTCACAGACTGAGACCAGACCAGTTAGTCCACACTGGAGCTGCAGGCACAGCATCCTTGAGACACTTGCCTTGGGGTCAGTCACGAGCCCTGCGTGACCACTGACTCCAGTGCCTGGTGCCCACAAACAGCAATGACAAATGGACCTTGGCCAAGCCCAGCCACTTTGACTTTTCAGCCAATAAAGTTTAACCCATTTAGTCTTCAGCTCCAGTCCTAAAGCGTATGTGGGCCCCGAGCCCTGGCACCTCAGGGGTGTCTCTCGTGCCCAGAGGTCCCCTGGAGCTCTTTTCTTGTCCTTTTGCTAACCAAGAGACCCTGTCCCCTTGACTGCCCCCTCATGGGGTGCTCTCCAGTCTTGACCAGCAGGTCTCAGGAGCTCTTTCCTGGCCTGGGGGCGGGGACTCTCGTCCATTCCTCCCACTCCCAGCTGCTAAAGCAAGGGGCAGCAGCTGGCTTGCTCCCTGTTCTCTGAGGGTGGAATCAGACTGAGAGGCCCCAGGCACACTCCCTTCTGAGGACATTAGCACCCATAGTATGCATGAAAAATTGTTGTTTGTTGCATGACTCAGTTATTTAGTCTCTCTCTCTCCATACCAAAACACATAAACCATTTCCTCTCAAAGAGCTTGGCTTGCCATTTTACAGCCAGATGTATTTAGTCTAAAACCTGGCCCGTAAGATCTGGGAGCTGCCCCAGTCCCCCAGCAGTGGGTGCACTTCAGGTCATTGCATCCAGAGGGGCCAGGAAGACGCAGCGCCTGCACTGTGGCAGCTGCACTGCCAGGCAGAGCATCGCGTGCGTGCTGCTGAGTGACCCGCTAAGCCGAGCAAGCGCCCCCGCTCATCCACCATACACCTAGCGCCTGCTCCATGAATGCCTCCCCCCGCATGCAAGATATGCAAGATCTACACACCCAGAGTGTGTTAACGGTGTCTAGGGAACCTGGACATGCCTACCAGACCAACGGCTGTCACCTATTTTGTGGTCAGTCGACCCTCTCAAGCGAAAGTGCAGCTGGGTGGCATCCAGGGCTTCCCATCCTCCTGGCAGACACCACAAAGGTTCTGAGAGCCCAGCCTGAAAGCCTGCAATGCCTCAAGGGGCAGAACCAGCCTTGACCGAGCAGGTCCACGCCGTGAGCGACATTACGTGATGGGTACCACAGTGGACAGCTCAAGAAAGTGTTTGCTGAGGCTGCCGGGCTCATGCTCACCCCTATGTCGTCGAGCGCAGGTGATCCTGAGTGCCCTTGTGACCCGGGCACTCAGCCCGAAGGCTGCTCTTGATGTCAGCTGTGCCTTGGTGCCAGGCCTGGCACCAGGCCTGCCCCCGGCTGTGCCTTGAGCAATCACTCCACCAGGGCATTTCCTGAATACCTTTTTCTCCTTAAGGAGCCCAGAGGGAAAGGGGTTTGGGTCCTGCCCACTCTGCTCGGGAACAGGAGGTATTCTCAAGAGCTCACCCAGGTGCCCTTGGGGGCCCCCTCCCTAAGAAGCCAACCCAGTTCCCCCTCCCACTTTCCCCGCAGATGCTACAGCCAGTTGCAGAGCTTTCTCTCAGGCCAGGAGCACTCAGTCATCCCTAAACTCTCCCTCTTCAAATTGTCCCCACCCCAAGGTGCTCTTCCCCATCCCTAAAGTAGGAGCCATAGAACCCCAAGAAAATGAAGGTGCTCAGAATGCTCCCCTCACCCCGTGTCCAGATCTCAGGCACACGCCTCACTCCCAACTCTAGGTCCTCCTACTTCCATCAGCAACAATAAAACCTCCCGCCTCCAATGGGGGAAACAAATCTGAGAGCACAGTTGATCTGTGACTCACAAAACTATAAACCAACTATTGCATTCTAACAGAAAAAGCTGAGAAGTCAAAATTTCAAAGCATCCCCATCTTTGGCTTTAGATGCATAGTCCTTGAGTTGCCAAAACATTATGTCCAGATGTCGCCAGACTTGAATTTCTGATTCTCAGCCTGATAGTAAAGAACAATACAAGGGGAAAATATCTCGTGCTAAGATGTATGCATAAATAAATAAACCTTTTTTAAAAAGTGTTCAGTCGTGGATTAAAAAGATGTGGTACATATACACAATGGAATATTACTCAGCAACCAAAAAAGAGAAACACATGTCTTTTGCAGCAACTTGGATGGAGCTGGAAAAGATCATGCTGAGCGAAATAAGCCAGAAAGAAAAGAAAAACTACCGGATGGTTTCACTCATAGCAGGAGTATAAAGGACTAGGCAACAAAATAATAATAATAATGAACAACTATACACCAGAGACATTTTACCAGGGTGGAGTGGACAATGGGATCAAAAACAGTGAGGGGAGGGAAATGCACTGGACTAAGGTGATGGCACACGCGTGATTTGGTGATGGGAAGCCCACGGGGATGACAACTGAGATGGAAAAAGGCACAGAATGATGTAAAAATAAACTATTATATTTTTAAAAAAAAGTTCAGTTGTAATTTTCCTCTCACTTAGCCCTAGAGTTAAGAGACAGACCTAACTGTTCCACTACTTGAAACCAGTGACTGTATCGCTCCCCAGACATTCACGCTGCAGAATGAATGCTAGATAGGAGAGAAGGGCTGAGTACACAAAGAAAGCAGGTGCTGGACAAGTGAACATTCTGGAGACAACAGAAAACTGCGCAAAGGTAAAAGCGGTGAAAAGTACTTGTCAAGCAAATATAAGGAGGCATGATAAAATGGGGAGAATGCAGATATAGGGGTCCAAACCCCAAAGCCTCTTCACAACTGGCATTGGTGGACAGACATCCCCTCTCTAAGCCTCGATTTCCCACCTGTAAGTTACTATTGAATCGCAAAGGTTTGTTGAGAAGAGATGTGTTATGCCATCACACAGGGCCTGAACGTAGGTCGCTGACATGCCCTCTCTCCCCCTCCCCGTCCCGGCCACATCCAGCCTGTGCTCACCTTCCTCCCAGGTCTCCCGTCAGGCCCTCTGTCCCCCTCTTCTCCGAAACACTTTGCAAACGTGTTGCAGCATATCCTTTCTACAGCTGTGTCCTGAAAAACAGACGCCATATCCCAATTCATATTTTCGTGTTTCGCACGAAAAAGATTCCCTCGAGTTTTTAAAAATCATCAGAATGAAGAGACGCAGGCAAGAACAATATAAAAATGTATGTAAAAATATACGTACAAGTTGCTTCAGTAAGACTCTCGGGAAGGATGGCAGGGAGATGCTCAGAGGCTGGGTATAGGTAAACCCTCTGCCAAATTCCAGCTGCTGGAGCTCTTCTAATTTAGTCACACCTTCCAGGCCAACCAGGAAGAGAGCAGAGAGTCCTGCCGAAACAACAGGGGGGCGATGTACCTGTGGGTCTTTTGAGTGGCCTGCCTCTCAGTCTCCAGACACTCACCCATCGCCCCAACCTTCCCACGTCCTTCACCTGTCTTGCCTCAAACTGCATTTGTGGCTAAAATCAAAACTAGCTCATGGCAGCCTTCGTGAAGAACGGGTCTGCTCTCCTGCAATCCCACCGGCGGGGAGCTAAGCAGCTCGGTGGACCCACACAGGATGTTCCCAGCTCTCTTCCACTGCTTCTAGGGTAGCAGCCGCCACATTGGCCATGGCGAAGGAAGTCAGAATTAGGGGACCAGCGGGTGAAGAAGAGCAATAGAAAGGGCTTTGGAAGTGACGCCAGAGTATAAGAAAAGGGGATCTGTGCGCCCCCCACAGCCTAAAGGAGCCGATGCCACCCGCCACAAGGAAGGTGCATCTTTAAATGCCCCTTGAAAAAAGCCAACAACATATAAAACAAAAGCCACACATACACATACACAAAAAGGTAAGTACACCCGGGTACAGCACCAGAGGAGCAGTTGGAGGCTGCTGAAAGCCTGGCTCTGGGCAACACTCAAGTGCGCATGCGCGCATATGTCGCGCATGCGCGCATATACAGCCCACTTAACCAACAGCCCCTGCAGTCCTGAAATTCGACCAGAGCTGGACAGACATGAAGCCCTATATTGCCGGTCTGAGTGTGAAGGAGCCGCCTTCTTTTGTGTGTATAAGCCCTCCACTACCTTATCAGGCTATCGCCCCTGGGCTTCTTGAGCCCATGGCCCCAAAAGCCCCAAATAAACGCTCTTTCCTCCCCTTTCAAGCTTGCCCAGATTTGTTTTCTTGCTTAGCAGTGGCATTTGGTGCCCCTGTCAGAATAACCCTTCTTCGCTGGCAGGGACAATGGCTCCAGGGACAATGGCAATATGAACGCCCCCCTGCTTCATATAAAGAGGCAGAGATGTGGGCACTGCGCTCCAGTCACTGGGGTTAGCATTTTCAAGCCTGATGCCTTGAAAATTTGACGTTCCCTGAAAATTTGAAGGAGTATCTCAGCTTATGTGGCACGCACACTGGGCAACTCTGTGTGCTTACCTTTGCTCCGGAGAAGCGTGGATGTTTCCTTCAATCTCTCTAAATTATCATCCAATCCATCTGTAAACACTAAAAGTACCTGTTGTTTATGAGGGGAGTGGAGGAGACAGGGAGGAGGGAGAGAGGGTAATGGAGAAAATAAATACTGTAAGTTGCACATTCCTTAAAGTGTAAGGTTAAGCTTAGCTTTTCCGGAGATATCCAGTCTTTCTCTAGATTCTATTTTACACGTGTATTTGTTGTTACTTTATTACAACAAATACACGTGTAAAATAGAATCACTGTTACTTCAAGCATCCCCCAACCAACAACAGAAAGTAATGCTGTGGTCACCTAAAAACACAAACAAAAATTCCTACCACATTCTTCTTCATCAATGTAAAAATACCAAACAATGTAGTTTCTACGATTAAAATGTTATCCATGTGCAGAATATTTTAATTTTAAAAAGGAATTATAGGCCCTCCCTGGTGGCGCAGCGGGTTAAAGCACTGCACTAAGTTAGAAGCTAAAGCCACTTCCGCATGAGTTCGATTCCCGCCTGCCCCGGAGGTGACCACATGGTGTGACAGACCTCTCCTGACCCGCCCGCTGCTCCCCTCAGCAGCGTACTTCGTCGATCTGCCTGTTCTGCTCCCCACTCTGTCTCTGGTGAAGCCTCTCACTGCCCCTGAGCTTCTGGCCTGTACCCCAATTCTGTATGCACAAATAAATAAATCTTTAAAAAAAAAAAAAGGAATTATAATAGTCAAGAAATAAATCCATTGCATGCATGATTGAAGGAAAATATAAAAGTAACTTTCAAAGTTTGGGGACATCATCTCTTAATAGATCATAAAGGATACTTTCATCTCTGTGGATTTTTGTGAGTGTATAGTTCTGGGCACCAGGAAGTGAAGAGATGGACTGCAGTAGTGAACAATTAGTTGTCACTAAAGATGGTGCAAGGTGCTGACCATAAGGAACTAAATAATCTTAAAATATCTTTCAGGTTGTTTTGAGGGCGATTTATGCCATGAAAGAATATGGATCACTAAGCTTACAGCAATTTGAGGGCAGGAATTTTATCCTTTATCTGCACCTCACTGACTTTTAACAAGGACCATCTAGAACTCATGATATATTTATCTATTGATTGAAGAGAACACATCTCTTGTTGGTCTTTACTGAGCAAGCCTATCGTTCTCCTCTATTCCATGTCAACTTTCCTGTGAAGTACAGTTTGGCCTCAGTCACAAAAGTCTTAGCCCTTCAGTCCCACCATGGCTCCATAATATGTGTTCTCAGCATTTATTACCTTCACGTTAGCAGTGGAGAAATGGAGAGCATTTTCTCCCAGGGTCTTCAAAAAATCTGTGTCCATGTGGTTTCTCTTGGCAAACTGATTAGCCAAGAACTTGTGAATGATCTCTTCACTGTACTTCTCAAAGCCTGAGTCAAAGATAAGCCGGCCATTTGAGTCAGGAACCAAGTAGCGGAACTTGGTATTGATCTCACCAGAAGCGACACAGCTGATGTTATAAAGCAAGGTCAAATGTTGCATGACTTGTGGCAGTAACCCTTGAAGCTTCTGTTGAACTTGCCTTGAGGATGTAGAGAGATCAATTCCTACAGACAAATCTGCATCACACCCTTTAAAGATGGAAAAGAGAAGAAAAAAAAATCAAATTAGTCATCTAGAAGTACAAGACCAGGCGGAGAAGCTATCAGCAAAATTTATCTCAGTCAACCCACAGAAGTATAACGGTTGTTGTTTAATTGAGGGGATGATTTGTTACATGGCAAAACTTAACTGCTGTGTATATCCAGTTTCATATCTCTGTGTCACCACTCAGCCTGTTCCTACTACCTGATATGTCCTTTCCCATACCCTCCACCCCAATCTGGTGAATTAATCATATATAGAGTTCAAGTAGCAGTACACAAAACCGCCTCCCCTCAAGTTCTCTCTCTGTCTCTAGCTCTTCAGGTTGACTTATTGAATTCTTCTGCATGTCCACTGTTTTCTTTACTTGTCCTTTTCTCCTACTAAACGAGGATTTCTTCATAGTAGGAACTATGTCATTTAATTTTCCACAGCCTAAAACAGATGCCCAATACATGTTTGACAAGTGGATGAAAAGAATATAAATAAATAAGTCTTAGTCTCTTTTTGCATCAGCAGTTACCATTTTTCTTCTCTCCTTCACTCACCTCATATGTATACTTTGTTTCAGAAAAAATCAGGGATGGGGCCTGCCTATCCCTGGGTATATCATAGCACTATGAAGCTAGCCTCAGTCACTGCAGCACAAGTTCGATCCCCGGCCAGGGTGCTGACCCACATGGCACAGCAGACCTCTTCTGTCTCCCTGCTGCTCCCCTCAGCAGTGTATTTCAGTAGATCTGCCTTTTCTGCTCCCCACTCTGCCTCTGGTAAATCCTCTCACCACCACCCCAGGACCTCTGGCCTATACCCCAGTTCTTGTGTATGCACAAATAAATAAATCTTAAAAAAAAAAATAGATCAAGACTAACAATCACCCCCACGTTTCTGTTTTAGGCAGTGGGAAGATATGACATAGTCTAGTATGCTATAATTAAGTGTAGTGTAAAGATGAGAAAACAAGGCAGAGTTTCATAAATACATGGAAGCTGTGGAACAGGATTTGAAAAGCCAGAGCTAGCCTTCTAGAATAAGAAAACTACACCATTTTGTGCCATTTTATGACATTCTAAGCTAGTCTACACCACCTTGGCCTATATTATGCTTCATTATGCCAGACTACAGCATTCTCTACTCTGTACTTCTTACAACCCTCCTGCTCAAAGTGTTGTTCGAGAACAGCAGGATCAGCACTACCTAAAGCTTCTTAGAAATGCAGAATTCCACCCCCAACCTACTGAATGAGAATCTACATTTTGACAAGATGCCACGTGATTCAAACCCATGCTAAAGTTTGACAGGTCCTAGCGTGCTCTCCTATACTTTACCAAAAGGTAACACAGAGTGTAGAAACAGATGGCCTCAAGTTCACAGCTTTGCTGATTATGGGGCCAAAATACCTGATATTGCAGTGCCTCCATTTCCTCCTGTGTAAACTAGTATCTATTTCATAAGGTTGTGAAAATTAAATTTATGAAAACCCTTGGAACAACTCCTGCTGGGGAAAAAAATAAGAACACCATAGAAAAGTTTGCTACTCTGACTACAATGAATTGTGGTGTAGAATCTCACCTTTGGCCCCCTTAGTCCCCCCATGGGTCGGCAGGTAAAATCATCCAGGAAGAACATTCTCTAGATCAGTAGTCCACTAAAAGGCAAGTGTTGGGAAAAGACCAGAAGAGCAGACCCTGAATATCAGAAGAAAAACCCCTCATCTCTGGACCTTGCTTTTTGGGATAAAAACTTGATAAAGTGGGATTGAGCATGAACTGATCCTATGAGACAACAGTCACATAGAGAAGACAGTGTGCTCTGCTTCATAAGAGAGATCAGCCGGCACTTTCTCTGCTGAATTCCCCTCTCAATATATCTGCATCTACAGTGAGTTGTGTTTACACATTCTGACTGGTTTCATCTATCTATGAAGAATAAAAGGAAGAGTTGTCAGGACTTGGTAGAGACAGAGTTCCGAGAAACTTCAGGCCACTGGAGGCCAGAGGAAATGGCCATGGGAATGATGAAAAGAATCTCCAGGGAAGGGAATCCTAGACTTAGGAGTTCAGGCCAGCCACCCCTCCCTCTGTATGAGCTTCCCTGCAGCCACCCCTTAAAGGGATCCCCTTAAAGGGATTGTTTTGTTTTGTTTTTGTTTTTCTATTGAAAGAACCAGCAATGTCCCTGACACCTACGATGGTCAGTAGCTTGGATAGCCAATTCTTGTCACTTACCTTCTGGAGTGCAGACCATATAAAAAATTTCTTTCTCCAGGTTCTGCAAGGACTCAAATTTTTCTTCATAGTACACTTTGCTCGCATCATTAGTAATCTCCAAAAGCTGAGAGTGTTTGGCTTCTCCCACTCCGATGGCAAAAATAATTATGTTTCTGTCCCTCAGGGCCTTCGCTGGGATAGCCACATTATCCTTGGAGACCCCATCTGTGATCACAATCAAATACTGATGAATGCTAGGTCTTCCTCCTCTTGAACTGTCAAAAAAAGGCAGGGTGAAATTCAGGGCTTTTCCGGTGCAGGTGCCATCATTCAGCTGTTGGACACCTGAGATAGCTTGGTGAATGCTCACGTTTGAGAAGTACTGGTTGAGCCTGAATTCCTCCTTGGGACTTGAGCTGAACTGCAAGAGGCCAATCTGAATTTCATCAGGACCAATATTAGACAAGTTCACCATCCTCCTCATAAATTCCTTCATCTTTTCAAAGTCTCTGGAGGAAATGGATTCTGAACCATCTATCAGGAAGATGATGTCAGCTTTCCTGTTCTTACAGGCTGGGGAGGTAAAAAGGGCGAAGAGCAGAACATTCACTTGGAGCCTGAAGCAAATTAATGACAAATTCCCAAGGCCAATCTGGTGAGGCATGTACACAACATAAAAAAATATTCTTAAAGGGAGTGAAAGGGGCGATCACTGAAGTAAATGTCTGTGACTCAGACCAGTCTCAAAATAAGACACAGCTGTATGATAAAGATATAAAATATGACCAGCTTGGTTCATTCCAGGGCTTGGTCACTGTGTCCCCTACTCACTTTCAGATCAGTGAATCCACACTTCAAGAATGAAGCCTATTCAGTTAGAGTAAACACATATATTTGGAGAGACAGAGAAGGTAAAAAAAATTCTTACTTTCTGAGGAGCAGATGTCCTGTGCCACCTCTTTTTGGATGAACTTCAAGGAATCAAACTCATAGACAAAAAAGACCTTGTTGCCAGCTATTTCCTTAAGTTCAGTCATGTTAGCATCTCTGACACCAATTGCATAAATGGTGACTCCATGTCTCCTCAAGGTCTCTGCTGCCTTAGCCACCAGGTCAGAAGATTTACCATCAGTGATGGCAATGAGATACCAAGGCACATTTTGGCGAGCAGTGTATGTGAAGACCTGAGCCATGTGATGCAAGGCCTTCCCTGTCATGGTGCCTCCTCCCTTCTGCCGGATGCCATCAATAGCTCCCTTCAGCCTTGCCACACTGGAATATTGATTAAGAAAAAATTCAGTGCTAACGCTGTCTGAGTACTGGACGACTCCAAACTGTACTCTGTCGGGCCCAACATGGAACATCTTTATCATCTCATGCATGAATGACTTCATGTCAAGGAAATCATCTGGGTTGATGCTGCCCGATCCATCAATCAGAAAGTAAATATCTGCCTTCTCAACACGCAAACAACCTAGGGGAAAAAAAAAAAAAGGCAGCTACCCATTAGAACAAAGTATGAGAAGGCCTGTAGCCTGAGTTCTGGAGCCCATTCCCTACCCATCTTCCCTTGGCTTTCATGGTTTTCTTGAGAGTCAACGCTTTGTATGAAAACACCTGTGACTCTGCTAAGGACATTTTTTGGCCAGGAGCATAGATCAGTCTATACACTGGGAGGACTTTGGGAATAGCAACTCACCAATGATTGACAAGGGTTGGTGAATAACTACTCAGGCTGCTTTGCCTTTTGGGTAGAACAACTCCATGACTTCTATGGGGTTTTCCTGAAGCCCCAGCAAAACTGAGCCCTAGTCACCTTCAGCCACACCATGCTAACTCAGCCTGTATCGATTGCTAGTCCTCACCCTTCTCACACCCATTTGCCTATCCATGTCCCCTGGGGTCACTTTCGACTTGTTTCCACAAGCTTTCAGGTCTCAGTGACCCCAATTTGGACAATCCTGTTTGGCTGGGCATTCACCCATGAGGGGATGGGTAACTTCAGTGGAAACAATTTGAGTACAGAACACAGATATAAGGAACAAGAAGCAAAAAGATGACTTTCCAAAAAGACCAAATTTGAAAGATTTCCCCCTACCTTCTTGTAGGATACGGTCCATCCCAGAAACAGAAGCCCATCTGCCCACCATCTCAGGGCAGAGATGATTTTTAATCTTGCTTTCCACAATAGAAAGCTGCAAAAAAGATTCCAGGAGGATGACATGCTTCCAAGGAGGATATGATGCTATTTTCTCTAGGTCCTTGCTGTCTGAGTCAAGCTGGGTGCCCACCACATAGATGGTGACCCCCAATTTGCGGAGAAGAGAAGCAGATCTGGACACGTTGTCTTGGGAGTTGCGGTCTGTGATGACCACAGCTATCTGCTGTACCCCTTGCCTGCTGCTCGGCTGAATGAAAACCTTTTCCCTTAAGAAATCCAAAGCAGCAGAGATCTTGCTCTTTCTTCTTCTTCCCCTGTACGTTAACTTGTCTAAATGTTCCAAGATTCTGTTTGCATTCCGAAAAGTATCCAGTAAAAACTCAAGACGTGGCTCCTCGTTGTAAAAGACCAAGCCCATTTTCACCTCATCAGGATGGATGTGCAGAGAGCTGACCATGGTCTTTAAGAAACTGACCACTTGCTGGAAATTTGATTGCTTATCCCTGCTAAACTCTTCAATGAGGAACACTAAATCAGTTGGAGTAGTGGTCCGACATGCTAAAAACAAAACCAGAAAGAAGGGTGTTAGCATAAGAACAGAGTCGTAAAGTCATAGAGTCATAAACACTCATCTTGATAGGGTATTGTGCTATATTTTATATGCTAATGTCTCCCGTATTACAAGTGGTACTAGTAGATATTACATGAACTTTTGTTAATACATTGTAGGGACCCTCCCTGGTGGCACAATGGGTTAGGACGCAGCACTGCAAGTGAACTTCAGCCGCCTCAGTACGAGTTTGATCCCAGGCCCCAGAGGTGACCCCCATGGCGTGGCAGACCTCTCCTGACCCGCCCACTGCTCCCCTGAGCAGTGTACTTCGTCAGTCGGCCTGTTCTGCTCCCTGCTCTGTCTCTGGTGAATCCTCTCATCGTCCCTGCACCTCTGGCCTGTACCCCAGTTCTGTATGTATAAAAAAATTTAAAAAAAAAATGTTGACTTATCTTAGGTCTTCCTGTGTCCCAAAATTTTCCCTTGGCCCTTTTTAAAAATACTTATTTATTTATTTATTTATGCAAACAAGGCCAGAGCTGTGAGAGAGGTCAGCTCCCTGACCAGGGGAGACGCAGAGGGTGGACAGCTTTATTGTGTTGCAACTTAAGCACTTGCACTACCAGGAAAGTCCCATCTGCTTCTGTCTGAATCAGTCACCCTTGGGCAGGGCACAGGCAACTTCCCTACATCCATCTTAAAGTTTTTATGGATCTGAAATGTCTTGTGCAATGCAACCTACTACTGGAAGCTTTTGTAAAGATCACTTTGCTCCTGGTGGAGGCTGAGAGTAAAAATGCTGGATGGACAAGTCACCAGTCCAGAAAGTGGCAGTGGGGGTAGAAAAGATTAACATCCCTGTTACACCAGTTACAAAAAAGAAAAATGCAGAGGCCTTAGAGTAGAGTTTAGGGATATGGAGGTTGAGGGCCACTGCAGAGAACCACCAGTCCTTACAAATCCATGTAGCTACACCCTAGAAGTGATTAGTCTAACAATAGCTAAAATTCCACAAAGGAATGATCCACTCCCAGGACCTCCCCCCCACACACCTGTGGCCATCAGGTTTGTTCTCACAAACCTTTATCTTTTGCAAAACAGCAACTTTTTCTGCCCACTAGCATCTCTACAAACATCTTCTCCTTTCCTTGGCCGAGTAAACCTGTCCTTTTGAAATCAGCCTTCACCTGCCTGTTTCTGGGCAAATACCCTTGCCTCTGGATAAACCTGCTGTGTACCGCTGAAAGGAGAACTCTACCGAAACTTTTCTTTCACATGAGCTCCCAATGACTCACACAACACACTTAAGGATCAAGTCTTACCTCCAATAGTCCCCTTCAAGGCCGTAGTCCTGGTCTCTGGCTTCCCAGTGCCTTGGATCATCTCATTCACTTCCTGCATCATCTGTCTGAATCCGTCTTGTCCGTGAATCTCATAGACCAGGGATGGCGACCCCATCTCCTCCAGTTCTCTCCTATCAAAGTCCTGTACACCCACAGACATGACTTTCACACCTCTCTCCCTCAGGATCTGTGCAGCATCTTGAACCTCATCCACAGATTTGCCTGAGGTAAGGACCACTGCATACTGGGGAGTGCCCTGGAGAAGGCGGCTTCCTGCTGCCTCCTGGAAGAAGGTCTGGTGAAGGTATCGAAGAGCTTTGCCTGTCCTTCGGGGGCCACCCTGAAGCACAAAGTGTTCTTGGATGTGAGTGATCATCTCATCCTTGGTGTGGTAGGTATTGAGCAAAAATTCAGTGTGACCTTGGCCGCCATACTGGGCCAGCCCAATATGGTACTTGTCCCTGCCAACATCCAGCAGGCCGATTACTCTGGACATGAAAGTCTGCATCCTCTGGAAACTGGTCTGTGATGTGCCCTGTGAGGTGTCAGCAAGAAAAACTACGTCTGCATAGGCCTTGGTGAATTCTGGAGTGGAACAGAAAAGGGGAGGAAGAGCCAGAAGAAAATAAGTCAAATGAAGATCTCATGCGAATCAAACAGGAGGATTTTGGTGATGAATGGTACATGGACAGAGGCTTGCTTATGCAACACTGAGCAGACAGTCCTGCTACCTCCTCTCTGGAGAGCTCTCCCTCCAGACTCCCTCGCTCTTTACCCTGTTACCTTGTTGTCTGCTTTGTAGACTAAAGTATCTTTCAATTTTTTCTTCAAACCATGGTGGAGGTGAGGGAAGTAAACGTGCTGAGCAGTTAATTTGCACTGGAGATACACATCCACTTTATCTGATTTATCCCTCATTAACCCATCCTATTAGGCAAATATTATCTTCCTGTGCAGATCAGAAAACTGAAGCAAAGAGGAAACTGCTTGCCCAAGCAGACCTAACTAGACGTCAGCACTGGTAGGATGAAATAAATGGGTCTTCCAGACCCCAAAGTGCATGCTACTTCCTCTGATTTCCTACCCTGGCAAACTCCATTCATCCTTCTATCCCCAGAGCTCAAATGTCCCCCACATTTAGGAAGTCTCCCGGTTTCAGCAGTGATGGAAAATCATTCATCCCCTGTCCTCCCACTGTTTTCTGTGTATTCTGGCTCATGTTGTATGGAGACATCTGTGTTGGCCTGTTGGGTGTGGACCAGTATCTTACCGTTTATCTTCACTGCCGAGCACAGATTCTGAAGAATCTCTTCTGAGAACTTCTGTAAGATGTTGAAGTTCTTGGTGTTGAAGAGAAATTTCTCAAATGGCTCACTGGCTATTTTTTGCAGTTCTTGGACATCCTGAACATTGACCCCTACCACGTACACAAAAACCCCATCTTCTTTCAACCTGTCTGCTGCCTCCTGGACTTCATCATTTGACTCTCCATCTGTCACCAGGATGACAATTTGGGGGATCCTGTCCTTGGCCCGGCTGCCAGCTGCCTCAGTCAAATAGTGCGTCCTGATAAACTCCAGGGCATTCCCCGTGTTTGTGCTTCCTGTACGATAGGAAAGATTCTGGATCTGTTCCAGAACCATGTTCTTTTGCGAGTACTGGTTCAGATGAAAAGCTGGGTAGACATTGTGATTGTACTGGACAAGTCCCACTCGGACGTGGTCACTGCTGATGTCCAGCCCCAGAACGACAGAGTGAAGGAAGTTTTTCACTTTCTGGAAGTTCTGGGGACCAATGCTAGTTGAGCTGTCTACTAGGAACACGATGTCTGCCAAGACTGCTTCTCTACAGGCTACGAGAAAAGACAAAAAGAATGGAGTCAGCAGATCTTTTCTCAGATTCTTAGGACCAGTGGAGTTGCCCAGGATCCAGAAAGGGAGAGCAATGCCAGGCAGCTCATTCTCCATGGTCCCTGATTTATTGATACCTCCAATTATGAATCCATTTGGCCAATCCCTGGATCTCATTAAGAAAAAACTGGGGCCCTCCCTGGTGGCACAGTGGCTTGGAGCTCTGCTTCTACAATGTGGCTGCTTCTGCAAGTTCCATCCCTGCCCGGGAGGTGACCACATGGCATGGCAGACCTCTCCTATCTCGCCCACTGCTCCCCTCAGCAGTGTACTTTGTCGATCTGCCTGTTCTGCTTCCGACTCTGTTTCTGGTGAATCCTCTCACTGCCCCTGCACCTCTGGCTGTACCCCATTTCTGTATGCATAAATAAATAAATCTTTAAAAGAAAAAAAAAAAACTGGGCCCTCCTTGGTGGCACAATGGGTAAAAGCACAGCACTGTGAGGCTGCCCTCAGCCACTGCAGGAAAAGTTCAATACTCAGCCAGGGAGGTGACTCACATGTTGCAGCAGATCTCTCCTGACACACCTACTGCTCCACTGCTCCCCTCAGCAGTGTGTTTCAGTGGATCTGCCTGTTCTGCTCCCCACTTTGTCTCTGGTGGTCCTCTCACTCTTCCCCGCTACCCCACTGCCATGCTTCAGGCTGTACTCCAGTTCTTGTATGCATAAATAAATAAATCTTTAAATAAATCATAAAGAAGAAGAAAACTGTGTGTAAAAATATAGCATCCCTGAGGCAGATATGATCACCTTAAGAAGAACATTTAGAGTCAGAGAGATAAAGTAACTTGTTCAAAATGACAGGTGTAAAGTGGGAGACCAGGATTTTAGCCCCAATCTTTCTTCATCTTACACTCATTCTGTTCATGAATACATGACACTAACACAGAGAGAGTTAAATAAGCAAACTTCCAAAGAGATCTTTTGCCCTTCCCCCCTTTCCTGGCTCCCGTCAAAGCAATACAGCTAAATTAATCTAAGAATAGTACCATTCAGGGAAAAGCAATCATTCTTCCTTCAAAGTGGCTTCATACTACATTCATATATAGAATCAGCACAAGACACACAGGAGTTACAAGAATTGTTGATAAGACTTTGGTCAGCGGTTAGATGGAGCATAGAGTATAACTATTAACTTTACTATTAAATTGAACATGCAAACGGGTGGAAAATAAAAAGGAAAAGGTCACTGTACCTGGGAAGATGTGGTCAACAGGTTGATCTGCCTTTACCATCACTGCACAGAGCTCCTGTTGCAGCTTTGGGGCCAGACGGGGAAGAGCAGGAAAGTTAGGAACAATGGAGATGAACTTCTCTGCTGGACTACTCGCCATCTGCCTGAGCTCCGTCAGAGTTGCATCTTTGATGCCAACAGCGTACAGCAGGATGCCTGCCCTTCTAAGTACCTCAACGGGTTCCTGCACGGAGTCATCCGATGCGCCACTGCTGATCACCACGGCAATCTGAGGCACACCCTGGCTGGCCCGGCTCCCCTCTTTCTCCTGGAAGTGATGACGCAGAACAAACTGCAGGGCCAAGGCCACCTTGTTGCCCCCAGGTTTAAACTGAAGAGTCTGAATATGCTTCAATATTTCATTTTTGTTGTGGTAGGTGGAAAGCAAGAATTCTGAATGGGGCACATCGCCATACAGAACCAGCCCCACACGGATGGCTTCTCTGCTGATGTTGAAGCCCCCTATCACATTGGCCAAGAAGATCTGCATGTATCGGCCCTGCTGGGGCCTGATGTTGGTGTGCACCAGAAACACGATGTCGCCCACAGAGTCTTTCCTGCAGACTGGAGAAAAGGCTCCACTGAAGATAAAATACAGCAAAATTGACGACTACTGGCTAGAATCCTCCTCTCCTAATTCAGTGCCTTTCCATCCCTTATCTACCTGCCCAGCCACCTTGCTTTCAAGGTGCAGGCTTTAACACATATTTGTTTTTCCCAAGTAATTTGCACAAGTTCCTGCCATCACGAAGGACGAATATTTACTTGTTAACTTTAACATAAGAATCCACTCATTGAAATAAAAGTCGGTGTTGTGAAACTTACCCAAACGCAAGTTCTAATCCTGGGGCCTACAGTCCCAACTGGCTTCACTTTAGAAGGGTTAGACACAAGCCCTTAAAGGATTTATGCAAAGAGAGCATCTCTGTGGTTCTCAGATTATATCTCTCTAGAACAGGGTTGACCACACAGGCTAAGCACACCTTAAGTTTGGTTTTGTGCGAGCTGCGTCAAGATGCTGGTACGAGCTGATCCCGCACTATCTCTGCCTTTATCTCTCTACATTCTCCATGTGTTCTCTGTGTTCCAAGCTCTTCTGTTAAGCTTCCCTAACTTCACCCTCCCACTTACAGTGGGTTTTAACATGTGATTCCCTTCATTGAATTCCTTTCCTCCTCTTCCCTTCTAAAAATTCCCACAGAAACATTTTCTCTTATCTCAGTTTATAATCTGACATTCATTAATGCACTTATTTGATTAATGTCAAACTCTTCCAACTAGACTGTGAGCCCCATGAGAACTGATACCACATCTCTTTTTGTTTATCCACCACTTGAGTGAGTAGGTAGAGTAGTCAACCAAAAAATATTTGAGCGAGGGAATATTTGGGTAAAGAAAAGGATGAAGAGGGAAGGAGATCACTTGTAATGACAGAAATCTTGCTTACTAAAGGAAATCAAACAAAGGAATCAGAAAATTTTGGAGCTGAAAATAATACTAAGGGATTATGCAATACTGTAGCCATTGAGCTGTGGACATTGAGCTCTCAAAATGTCCAAAAGTGTGGACATTGAGCTCTCAAATGTAGAAAAACTCTTAAATGTTACTGAATCTTAATTTATTTTAAATAGTCACATGTGGTTGATGGATTGAGTAGTGTGATAAAGAATCCAATTCATCCATCTGGTAGAAAAGAAAAAGAGCTAGAAAGGCAAAGTAACTCGTATAAATCCATTCAAACGGCCAGTATGAGAAACCAGGTCTCCTAACAGCCAGTCCAGGCGCTAGACTGCCATAAAGAAAATTAAATAAAATTCTGTAATATGGAAAGGCAAAGACTGCATGAAAGTTTACACAGGGAAGGATTGGAGAAGGTTGGCATACCCAAAGACACTATGCCCATTTGTCATCTCTAGAGTTGTAAGTCGCACCTCTCAGCGGGTTGCTAATCTTGGAGGCATGATGAATGAAAATGCAGGTAATACATGAGTTTTAAGACCCTTTAGGTTTTATTTCCTCTTCCACATTGCTTTTCCAAAATGGATTCCCATATTGCATTTCCCAAATCCAATTCCTATGGGAAGGAGAGTGCTCCAGAGTTAGCTGACTGCTTCCTCCCCTAATGTCTCTTTTGGAAAAGACCAAACATAGACCACAAAGTGTTTCCCTTTCCAACCAAGAGAAACCTCACATCTATAGAGTATTTTGCAGGCAAATAAATGCTAATTCCATCTTGTCCAACATGAGTGACATATGACACTCTATCACAATTACATACTGTTGCTTTCTTAAACCCTCCACTAGGACTTTGTCATTTTGAGAGATGCTTGAAACATGAAAAGGCTGTCAACAGCTTCTGTTCACAAGGGAGGGGTGTCAGAGGCACTGGGAAGATTTAGACAGTTTCATGTTTGTTCACAACAACAAAAAAGCCAGTGTAGCTCTATCTGAATACTTAAATGTCAATATGGTCTCAGTGGGCCTTTGAGCTACTCAGATAATCTTGTCCTGGTGGGACTTTCATCTTGAAAAGTTCCAACAATGTGTTAAAATGACTGCCCCCCAATTGTCAAGGTGTCGGTGGCATTTGGTGAGACACCATCTTGTGGTAACAATCACCCCTCTGAATAGCTGTGTCAAAGGAGACAAGAGCAAAGTATGAGCCAACTGACAAGTCCTTGTTGACAGAAGTGCTTGGGAGGCTGGTGATGCTTCAGAAGGGGAAAGCGTTCTAGTTTTTTGTTGCCTGAGGATAAGCTTTGGAAATAAGTGGCTGCCATTCACAAAAAGCTTTCAGATACTAAGTTCTTCCTAAAAGAACCTTTTCCCTTTTGTTAACGATAAAGCTCCTGTCATATTTTTTCTTTTACAACAGTCAGTCAATGGGTTTCTGGAAAGATCATTTCTGGCTTCGAATGTAATACATTACCAAATCTCTGTGACTCGATGAAGCCAAAACTAGCTGCAAGGAAGATGATGCTCCAAAAAATCTTACAGATCTCCATTCTAGGTCTGTCCCTGAAAAGAAAAAGAAAACTCCTAATTAAAATGATGACTTGATACACTTTAAATGGGTGCATCGTATTGTATGCTAATCATACCACCATAGTTGCATTTTTTAAAAACAATGATGTCGGCCCTCCCTGGTGGTGCAGCAGGTTAGGATGCAGCACTGCAAGCTAGTGGCAGCAGCTTCAGTGCAAGCTCAATCCCCCACCCTGGAGGTGACCACATGGCACGGCAGACCTCTCCTCACCCGCCCGCTGCTCCCCTCAGCAGTGTACTTCATCAATCTGCCTGTTCTGTTCCCCACTCTGTCTCTGG